AATATTACTTCATAAGAGTAAACATATTTCAAACAGTTTCTGATTTTAACAACTATAATAACATCACATGTCTGTGTAGTGTTTCCACAAACTTCCATCATATCTTTGTCAATGTTTGTTATGTGAGGTCTGTGGTCAGGACACACACACACACAAACGGATCACTCCAGAGACAGGAACCAGGAACAGTCCAAATACACGGGAGCTGCAGAACTAAAACAGGCAGAAAAATAAACAGTTTTGAAATTTAAAAATCACATTAAAAATAGAATAGAAACCAGTTGAGATTTTATTAAAGCTGTTTTTTGTCAAAATATATTCACTTTCTTTCACTTTTCCATTTAAAGATAATTTAATAGATACTGGATCTCAGTTCTAGATGGTGCAGGACGTGACCCCCGACCCCACCCCTCACAGTCCTCCCTCCTCCTCCTCCCTCCTCCTCCCTCTTCAGTACAAGTATATGTACTGGTACTATGACAAGCAGTTTCCAAATGTGTTTTTACTGGTGTTTGTTGTTTTAGATATTAGTGCTACATTTTACTGCATCACATAATATTTTTACCACAAGTATACACTTTCATGGAGTACTACTGTAGTGTTTGAAGAATGGACCTTCTGTATCTTTTCTAGCAATTAAAACATGTATAACATCACAGCACAGCAGCAGAAGATGAAAGAACTGATTATTATGGAATGTTGAAATGTGAATAGATGTGCTATCACTGCATCCAGGTCTAAAATAGATTTTCACAGTAGAGAAACTGCACTTCATATATACTGTACTGTGTATATGAGAGGCAAACAGATAAGAACTGCCCCAGGCAGGAAATTATGGCTGAATTAGCCTCTTCCTCCTCCTCTCCTCCTCTCCTGCTTTCCTCCTCTCCTCCTCTCCTCCCCTCTCCTTCTTCTGTGTTATTTCCGTGCAGCCACTCATGGCGTATAATCCCAATAATCCACTCTTTATGGCCCATCACATCATCACACATTAACAGTGTGTGTATGTTGACACACCATTAGACAGAGTGAACTGGGATAATGTCCCATAATGCTGTGTGACTTTACCTTCATCTCAGTGCATGTTTGCACGAGCCAATGAGAAAATTAGGCTAAAAAGAAGTCACCTCTGCATGTTGTTGAAACAAAATGAATGATATCCTCCATTATTCTAATTTGATGATGCTAGGTGAGTCATGACATGACAGTTACCTCCTAATGTGGTAAAAGCTCACCATGTTATTAACCATCTGCTCTGGTGAAGTCCAACTGAGTTTTTTTCTGGAAAATGATAAAATACTTTTGTATACGTATTGTATACGTTTGTTGTGTTTGTACGATTTCACTCTCATTTCAATTTTTTTTCCAATATATACAGTACCTACATACACTGCTGTATGCACAGAAACATGGATATTTCATCAATGTTGCCTTTCATTTCACTGGCCCTCACAGTCATTCACAGTGCTGATGTCCTACTGCTGCACTGTAATAGTTACATTAAATAATTTTAATTAATTAATTATTAATTAAATAATTACATTAACTGTAATAGTTAATGTATCGACAGTGGGAGGCGCTCCATCTCCAGGATATGACTCGTCTGGCCGATGGTCAGACTATACAGTCTAATAGAAATGCCACATTTTATTTATAATCATATTCCACAACACATGGTAAATGATCTCAACTCTACTTGAAAACATACTTGCCATATTAGCAACTGCGCAAAATAAAATAAAAAAAGACAAGGAGAGGGCTGGGAGTGAGGGTCCCTGATGTATCACTTCTCTCATTTAGAACCAAACATCCTTTGATAACATGTTATTATTATTTTATTTCCTGACATCTGCAAAGACAAAGGAGTAAAAACCACATCAGTTCTATGTTCATGTTTCTGCCCTTTCTGCCACAGTGAGGTGGTGTTGTTGTAAAAGTTGCCCTGGTAAGGCACATTGACAAAGTCTGGGTTGGTTTATTTAAAACAGATATGAAGACTAAGAAAGCAGGCAGATTGGAAGCTTTATCTTGCCTGACTGTCATTACACCCTTCCCTCCTGCCACTCACCCCCCCAAATGTAAGCCAGTACATCATATTATGCGGGTAATTAAAATTGTCTATGTGCTTCTGAGCAGCTGAGCTGTAATGAGTTTGCAAATGAGATCATCACCTGGATTCAAATGATCATAATGATGAGACTGACACTTCACATTAGTCCACACTCACAGACTGATGTGAGTCTAATGGTTTGGTCTGATGAAAACCTGAGTCAAGTTCACAGAAATATTTCAGAGATCATAAATAAATATGAGGCCATAATCTGATAACATGGGTAAGAAGCTGGTGTTAACTAACTTACTAACCCTAAATAACTACTTAACTAACTAACTAACCAAACTACTTCTATTTGTTATTCATCCTATCAATAACTAATACATATATGTCTGGTAATTACATCATTGAAAATATATTTATTTTTCATGGCAGTTTTAGTGTTTGGACTGTTACTAGTTTGTTATTGTTTCCTTTTGTCAGAGTGAAGTTGTTGTTGCCAAAAATACAACGTTGTATGATGTGCTATAATTAAGTGTTTATTGGAACCAAATTACCATCAGGTTTCAACACGATGTCAAAGCTCTTCATTTACGTTTCTTCAGCTGTTGACCTTTCTGAGTGACCTTTCTGAGTGATAAGTGTTCAGCACTGGGACTGTGTTGGTAAACATTATGTCATTTTTATTCAATGACAAGTTAAAATTATAAAAACAACCTAACCCAAAAATGTATTGTTCTATAATAATAATATACAATAACAATCAATCAACCTTAATGACAAAACGTCATTAGTTAAGAACGTGTAACGCTGTTCTCACAGGGATTCTTCTAAACACAAACAGAGGTGAATCAGGGCGCCATCCTTACAAAAGAGACACGCCGACACGGTTAACTTTATGAAACCAAATACATCAATACATTCTCTGGGCCATGTCAGCTAATAATTCCCCTAGTTACCCCATTCACTTTTCACCGTCTTAACCATGTTACTGTAAAAAAATAATATTAGCTCTCATCGATTGAGTTTTAATAAATATTGAGGAAAAAAAATGTTTTGTTAGTCCTGACTTTTGTAAATGTGGAGTAAAAATACTAAAGAATTTCACCTTATTGTCAGTGGGTTGAGGATAATAACAATACAGTTCATGCTGCTGATGATAATGATAGATGGCAGTATTGCCTATTATTCCTCACTGCCCTTCATTACTCGCCTGGTTATAGATGACATGAAGGGAGTGTGAGAGAGGGAAGGAAAGACGGCGGCTAGACTCTCCCCAGGCGTCTTCTCCTCTGACCCGAGTCTATACACAGAGAAAATGTTGACATGTAGGTCAAGGTTCACAATCCAATGTAATAGCTTTCATTGACTCTCTTAGTGGGAGCGAACGGGTCAACTGCAGAGAAAGTCCTCATTTGACCACAATGCACCACATCACTACAGAAATGTTGAATAAAAATTGAATATTAATTTCACTGACTGTTAGAATTAATATTATTCCTGTGATGTGGCTACGTAACAGAGGTAGTATTAGAGGTTCATCAACTAATTCAGGGTCAGATTAAAATTAGGGTAAAGATCAAGATTACTGTAGACTATTCAATTAAACAGTGGTTCAAAACCATTAAATATCAAGAGAGAAAGGAAAAAAAGAAAGAAGTGGTACAGTTCTTGTTTTAACTGGTAACCAGTGCAGTGACTATCAGCTGGTGTGAAGTGTTTTGATTCTTTGTGCCAGTAAGCACACGTGCTGCTGCATTTTGAATGTACTGTAATCTCTGAATGCTTGATTGCTGCTAGTTATGAATGCGAGGATTCGTTTTTCAGAATCTAGATTTAAGAGGAAGCCTCTTGATTTGAAAACATTTTTAGGTGATAAAAAACTGATATAATGATATGGTTTATATGGCTTTTGAAATTTAGATTGCTGTTTAGATTGTGTTCTGCAATTTTGTGTCTGTGAGCCTGTGTACCAAAGATGAGTAATTCTGTTTTTTCTTTGTTAAGCTGTAAGAAATGATCAGACATCCATTTGTTGATGTCATCAATACATTGAAGGAGGGACTGCATGGGGGACAGGTCATTGGGATATAGTGAAATGTAAAGCTGTGTGTCATCTGCATAGTTATGGTAGTTTACATTATGTTTGCGTATCACTTGAGTAAGTGGAAGCACGTATAGGTTGAATAATAATGGGCCAAGAATTGATCCTTTGGGGATCCACAATAATTAATGTTGTTTGTCTGTGATGCAAAATCCCCAATGGATACAAAAAACTGTCTATCCTGTAAGCAGGTTTTAAACCAATTAGACTACTGTCATATTTAAGGCTAGTGGACAAAGCTTTAGAATACACTGTCTGTGTCAAGCTCTTACAAAATACAAAAATCTGAAAGTGTTTGTTTGGGCCCGTGTAAGAGGCAGTCCCGTGTTGGGCATGGCCCCCAAAGAGCTGCGGTGGGCGTCCCTTATTTTCTTTTCTTTGTTGTTTGTTTGTTATTGAACCATGAACTGTGGATCTCCAATCTCTGAACGTGGTAATCACATGATTAAGGTATCAGCTGATTACCATTCACCCATTTCACCCCCAGTTCCTTTTTTCTTTTCTTAAAATAATTCTTCTTCAATCTCACAGTACACACACAGGTTCATTCAGTCTTGTTTATAATATTTATTTTTAAAAATGATTAAGCAGACAGGTGTGTGACCTGGGAATTCCACAATGTGTGTAGAACAGCATGGTACAGTAAACAGGTTTTACTAAAATCCTATAAGGTTTTTTTGACCTTCATATCAAAAGTCGAAAACATAGGGCATGTTCTGTTTTAAATTTGAATTTCTTTTTAAAACATATTCAAGAATCTCTCAAGAATAGATCACAGATTTTTAGAAAGTGAAAATATACATCAGCACGACCAGTGTTAATGAGCAGGCTATCACTACAGGCTTCCACAAACATCAGTGAGGAGGTGATAATGCCACAATGCAATCACACCACAGGGACCAATCACATGTTTAGATGGATGTCACAGCTTAGACAGGAGAGGCTTCGCTCTTTAACACTTCCTCCATTCCCTTCATTACTTCCTCAATCACAGACTTCCTCAGCTCATCAATCCCAAATGATTTCCCCTGCTTTCTTGGCCTTCTCCTGAAAAAGGGAAACTGTAAAGAGAATGATTTTAAGTTTCAGCACCTCAGCCTTTCTCCTCTGATTGCATTTTTATCAGGAAACGGAGAACGAACAGGAAAGATCAGAAGCAGGAAAGTCAGACAAAGACAGGAAGGAAGGAGGAGAGGGCAACACAAAGTCATTTCAGTGCTGACAGAGAGAGCCTGTTCTGGAGTGAGATTGATTGAAACAGTGAGGCCAGCTCATTGACTTCTAACACAGTTACATGAATGACAGAGACAAAATGTGTGTCCGCTGCCGTAGTGGTCACTAATCTGATGGACAGGTCCAGATCCATCTGAGGATGAGGCAGAAAGAAATAAGGAATGAAAAGTTCAATTCAGCGTTCATCTACCAGCTTCTGGGTTAGACAGAAAGTAAAGGAGGGCAGCTGCAGGAAGTGTAGGTGTGTTAGAGACTCTGCCTGCGAGTCTGTCGATGCCACATATGTGAAATTATAGGGAATTATTCTTTTAAAACCTGGTCATTTTATATTTGTCAGACTATGCTGTAAAAGTTCAGCACCATGGAAACACTGCTGAGCCTTTTCAACCCTTTCATATTGTAAGTGATGAACAAAAGTAAATGGATATCATTCAGTATCAGTCTGTGTCTTAGCAGTCTGTGTCTTAGCAGTCTGTGTCATAGCAGTCTGTCGTAGCAGTCTGTGTCTTAGCAGTCTGTCTTAGCAGTCTGTGTCTTAGCCGTCTGTGTCTTAGAAGTGTGTGTCATAGCAGTCTGTCGTAGCACTCTGTGTCTTAGCAGTCTGTCTTAGCAGTCTGTGTCTTAGCAGTCTGTGTCTTAGCAGCCTTAGCAAAAACACAGAGTAAAAGGACAACAACAAACCCCTCACATTCCCTGGTGGCTCAGATAAATTTGGAGATGTATCAATTCATATACTGGAGAAATGGACTTTCTGGAGGTTATAGTGCCCTCTGCTGCCTCACCCTCACAGCATAATCCTGTATGAATTCTCCTGCCTTCACATACTTCACTTTGTAGAATGGTCCCCAAGCTGCTACATGTGAGGTTTACACACTTGGTACGTAATAGAGAAGCACAGCACTGTGACAACAAACGTACAGTAACAAGGTGGCAGCAGCACGAACACCTGTGTAACCCTAAAAAGTTTTAACCATGAACTTTACGTCATCAAACTGTTTTTCTTTAGTGTGTTAATAAATGAAAGAAACTGCTGCTTTAGTCACAATGTTAAAGGTAATTGGGTCATTTTAAAAAGATGTGCAAAACGGAAGCAGACTACATCATCATGTGGTAACTCTTCCTTTAAAAAAACAACAACAAAAAAAAAAACAAAACAAAACAAAACAACAACACTATTTTATGGTTTTTCTCACTTCCCGGCATTTGTTTTGTGGTGGTACTTCCTGTCGTGCGCTTGTGGGGATTTCCTTCTGTCGTTGTTTGGTAACTCAGGCCAGCCGCTAGAAATGCGTCTCCTTCTCTGAGATGGTGGAGATTTTCCCATCAACCTTAAGTTTTGCATCATTTGTAGCGTAAGGGCTCAGTGTGGCCAGTTTCCCCCTCATTTTCAGATCACGACTGGGGGTTGTCAATTTTTTCATTCTCTGTAGGGTAAGAGGAAGACGACAGTAGAATGGAGATCAAGAGTGAAGCCTTGAACTTCACAACCAATGTTTTAAAAAAAAGAAACAAAGTGGCATTGACAAAAATTATTATCTAAACATTAACATGTCTGCATTGGCCAATATTTAACCTTTCTTCTTCTTCTTCTTCTTCTTCAGTGCATCATTAAAGGAAAGGCAGAGAAAGCAGCCACTAAGAAGTGAACAGCTTTTAATGTAGCCTAGACCCTAACCCAACCTAGAGATGGCAGTACCTTGTTCAAGACCTCTTCTTAAATCTGTAAGGTCAGAATATATAGCGAATCGACTGTTGGATGTTTGTGATCTTAAATCACTTTTTGATGACCATGATGATTGATCTGTGATGTGATTACTCTTTGAGACCTAAAAGGTCTTACAATCGCAGAAACAAATCTGAGTTTTGTTGTTTTATCTTTAAACACATTTTCATGAAATTAAGTGGCTTTTCTGTTCATGCACCTGGAAAACCACACAACCAAACCTATTAATCAAAGACCAGAGGTGGCTGCTGCTCAGGTCACATCAGAAACATTGGATTCACTTTTTTTTAATTTTACCTCAACAAATAATTTACAAATATTTGCTGTGTCACTCTTCCTGTGACTGAGGATGCTGGGAAAATAGTGTTGTTGTCTAAAATTTGTTGTTTTTACTTGGCCCAAATGCTAAAAGATGTGAAAAGCAGTTGTAAGTTTTAAGGGGAGTGCTTTGTAACCTTCTGAGGTAATATACTGGCATATGTGATCGTAAACATATGAACAAATGATGTTCACAGAATGGCTGAGGTTGGATGGAAAACAACATTCAGCTCTATCATCTAAAAATCTAAGGGAGTTTTTCTGTGTAAAGATTGTGTCATCTGTGTATTCTCTACTTCATACACAGAGTTTTTAGATGTTTACCTCAGAGAAGGTGCCGGGAGTCTTCCAGATCTTCCAGATGATTCCCAGAGGAATGCAGACCATGGAGGACATGGCCATGAACCAACCGATACCATAGCCCCAGTCAGGGTAGGTGTACACGTTGTTGTACTTCAGTGGTTTGTATTTAATTAAGAAGAACAGGAAAATTCCCTGTGGGAGACAAAAAAACAAAACAAAACCTGTTACTGTGGTAAATGTGTTGTTTATAGAGAGAAATAGAAAAGGTCACACTGACTACTTTCAGTTTCACTGTGGTGCTGTCATATTTAATAGTCACCTGTAATCATATATTGTATTAGGTACTAGTGGATCGGTGTTTTTTTAATTTTAGTTGTTTCAAAGACTAATACTATTTTTGTACAGTCTATACATACACAGCAACCTTAATGTATTCACATTCACCAGCCAAAGCAGCCAAAGCCTTTAAAATGTTCTTATTATTCCTCAATTAAAGAGTCACTTTTATCAAAAAGATTCGGTGTAACTGCTTATCATGTTAATCGCTGATGCTAACACTGCTGCTGGTCTTTGTGTCTGCAGTGGACTCACAGCACAGATGCCCGGGGTCAAGATCATCCAACACCACTTGATGAAGAAGACAGGTTTGTAGCCAATCATGTCCTCAATGTTCATGTAGAATCTGTCACTTCCTAAAAACACAAACAGGGACACTCAGGTTGACCCCTACAGGTAATAAAGGGAAATTGGAGGTGTGTACAGATCTGCTCATTTGATCTGGTTCAGTTTGACAATTATATGAAGTTACATTGGATCTGCAGTACGTAACATTTTATTTTTGTGTGTATACAGCAACACACAGCGTTTTGCAGACAATTCTGAATGCACATCTATGACTGTAATAACATGCTATTGTCTCAAAACTGTTTTGTAGACGCTGCATGTGTTAAAGTCACTTTTCCAGCAGAGGGCAGACGAGGCAAATAATTGAAGCCTGAACGGAAGCAGAGCGTAACAAAATGTTTTATTTCATCACTTCGCTTTAGTCAAACCGACAGGATCAGGATATGAACAAAGGATTCTTACCGTACACCCAACCAATGCATATGGACTCAAATATGGCCACAAACAGCAGACACATCCCGCTGGCAGCGTAGGAGTCAAAGAGCTGGAAGACATACATTCCTCCCTGAGAGGAAGAGTCACGTGTCAGTGTCCTGTGATGGAGGCTTGTGAGAATCAGGTACTATTTATTTATCTCATTAGAAACTAGTGACAGTCCTGCACACTGCTGGTTGTCTAATGATTTTCTTCCTCTGGTTTTCTTATTTGGAATTATTTTGTATCCATGAAATAACTGTTAAAACTTAAACCATATAAAAAGTCCTTTATTGATCTAGAGGTCTGTGATTCTGTGTCTTTTTTGGTAGAGGCTTCTTTGTAACTTTGACAGTTTTTTACATCATATTTCTGATGCTGGGTTCTCTATTTGATGACCCTGGTGGTCTGGCACAGCGGTCCCCAACCTTTTTTGCACCACGGACCGGTTAAATGTCTGAAATGCTTTTCACGGACCAGCCTTTAAGATGTGGTGGACAAATGCAACTAAATAAAATGAATAACCAGACATAAAAATGTTTTCTAAATATAACAATATAAAAAAATAAATAAAATAGAAGTAATGTAAGTTATGCATTCTTTCTGTGCGACCGGGTACCAACTGACCCAAAAGACCGGTGCCTGTCCACGGCCCGGAGCTTGGGAACCACCGGTCTAGCAAACAAATTATTACTCATTACATGCTCATTGATTTTAGGGTAACACTTGTGATTATTTGATGTAAAATCATAATTTTTACCAGAAAACATTATATCATTACTGTCAAAAAAATTAAAAAATTAAAAAACAAAATATCAAAGGATGGTTTTATCACCATACATCCACTAAATAACTAAAATATCAGCAGCGTGGTTCACTGGTGCTTGTCAACCTGTATGAATGCTACTCTGAAGAAGAAATACAATGTGTGCAGTGGTGGAAAAGTACTGATGTCACCACCATCATCATCATCCTAGATATATGGATGATGATGATGATGATGATGAAGAAGGTGATGATGGTAATGGTGATGATGACAATGACGGCGAGGATGCTGGTGATGATAATGATGATGATGGCAGAGAGTGTAGGTTCAATTCCCAGAGGAACCACTTGATTGTTAATCCTCCTCTTGTAAATCGCTTTGGATAAAAACATCTGCGTGTAAATGTAATAATGCTGATGGTGATGATTACGATGACGATAATGATGGTGGGGGGCAGTGGTGGCCTGAGCCACTCAGGCACCGTCCCAACACACTGTTCCCTGGTGCTCAACTTGAGTTGCCCTCTGCTCTTAAGGCGGCGGCTTAAAGGCACAGGACAAATTTTATTGTGTGATGTGGTGTGTTGCGCATCAATGACAATAATTCACTTTCACTGATGATGATGATGATGATGATGATGATGATGATGATGATGATGCCATGCCTATAAAGAAATGACATGAAAAGGCAGCTTAAATTTCATACTTTTTTTTTTACAATTCTTAGCATTATATAAACAATCATATAATGCTAAGAACTTTAGGTTTGGTTCCGTCAGACTCTCAACACTACATCACTACTGTAATAGATTGCTGTACAACACAATCTCTAGTGACCTAACTGCCCAAAGCTTCACTCTCAACGAGCAGAGCTGAGCCATACCTCTGTACACATGATGAGGCCTATGAAGAAGGAGACCACAGACAAGCCAAGAATCAGCAGCTCTCTGCGATAACCTCTCCTGAAGGTCTCTGGATACATGTCTACCACGGCCGTCACCAAACTCTCCACACACACAAACTGGAAAACAAAGCAAAACTTACGTTATTTTATTTGCCAATGGAAATATTTAATATTTATCTTTCTGCATAATTTGCAACTTTCAAGAATTTATTTCCTTAAAGGAATATTTCTTTGAAATTGTACCCTATATTCTCACTGAAGTTTTAGTGGATTTTAAAAACAAAATAAACCAGTTTTGAAACAGATGTTTTTTACCTGACTGTCCAGGCCCAGGAAGATGAGCATCATGAAGAAGAGACAAGCCCACAGTGGAGACAAAGGCATCATAGTCACAGCCTTGGGGTATGCAATAAATGCAAGACCAGGACCTTTATTAGAAAAACGCAGAAGCAGACAGTTTCTTTCATATATGAAATAGCCAAATAAGGAAGTACAATAATTCAGGCAAACTTAGCATTTAAACAAAGAAAGGTGTTGGCAGCCTTTGTGTTATTTAATGCGTACACTTAGTGACAGTCCCTTAGCAACATAGCATCTAAAACATTGAACACTCTCCTCACAAAGGCGAACATTTGAAAACCGCTAAATATTTTATTTCTTGAACTTGAATAAATCATACTGCTGCCTCTGTGAAGAAGATGGACTTTAAATGGTGATGTTATGTATTTTAACAGAACAGGATGCATTAGGGCAAAATGGTTCAAATAATATGTCTCTCATCTGTTGTCACTGATATATTCTCCAAGTTTTACACTCATTTAGATACAAAGACATGGGGCTTTTAATTGTCCGTCACTCTCTCACCAGACTCTGCCACAGCTTCGATGGGAACATTCTGTTCGTAAGCCATAAAGCCCAGCACAGAGAAGATGGCAAAACCTGCCACGAAGCTGGTTCCACTGTTTAGGCAGCACAGCATGATGCAGTCCCTGTGGAACAAAGAGAGAAGGAGACAGGTCATGTGATCACAGACGGCCCAGTTAGACCTGCACATGTTCTGTGGTGTCCAGGTGTCACCAGTGGGAGTCATCCACTCATCAGTGACTGAAGTCCTACCTGTAGCAGTTATTGTTGTAGGCGTTGTAACTCCCCAAAGCAGTGAGACAACCCAAGCAAATTGCATAGGAGAAGAAGATCTGGGTTCCTGCGTCCACCCATACCTTAGAGTCAGAGTGGCAGGAGATAAATTAAATACAGAAAGGTGCTGAGAAAAAAAAAGTAAAGTCCAGACCAACCTCCCCATGAACTATTTACACAGGTTGGACTTCTTCTACAGCAGGACCCTGGAACCCACAGGATAACATGGGGTGCTAGTGGATTCAAACTTAATGCAGCATGGCTCTTTGAAAACTCTCCCACATCACCATTCAACCACTAATCTCATTTCCCTGCCGAGAAACAATTAACAAACAGTCTTCGCTCCCTCCTGGTAGTAACCACGGTAACTTCTGTGACCTCACAAACACACAACTGTTCCTGTGGAAGAACAGGCCTTTCTCTCCTAATGTTCATTAATGTTCCCTTTAGTTTACCCTCGGCTGATCGCCGTGCAGCACATTGAAACCTTAAAGGTCCAGGCTCAGAGAGATTCGCTTGTTGATGTTATCCCTAATTTGGCTGCCTGATGTTTAGTTGTGTTGAGACTGTGGCTGCAGGAAGCTGTTGTACGGTGTGCAAGTTAAACGCCACTGATTGTTGGGTTGGTAGTGTAAGTGTCACCTCAACACTTTTTACACTTGTGTTTCAGATACTTCTGTGGAACGTTGGGCATCTTTGGTCATGATATCCTACAGAGTTCAGAATATATTCCCAATTCACCAACCTATATTTGAATTACATTTAATGGGCAATAAACTAATACACACACTAAGATGTATTAGCGTGCCAACATAATAATCCGGAAACTGAGACAATATTTTTTATCATGCATTCACACGTTTTATTTTGAAAATCCATTGTGCTTGGCTTTGACTGTATACATAACAGTGGCATCACCTCAGCCAATCAGAGCATCTGTGGTGAGGCTAGGACCAAACCGAAGGAACCAAAGTTATTCCAAATTACTTTGACCAAACCAAAGTTATTCCAACTGCTACATAGTTAAACATAGTCACATAGTCACCACAGTACTTCAAGTCTGAAGTATCACCTACAGTAGACGCTACACAAATCATTGATGGCTTCAAATGATTAATTGGTCATTAATTGGTAATGATTGTTGGTCATATGTTTCTGCAGAATCAAATGTTATTGCACATTTGATCAAGTTTTTTAAATAAAGCTGCTGAGGTTTTCAATTTCTTATTTAATTTCATGAATAAAACATACGATAAATGGGGATTTTTAAATCTTAAAAATTGCCCATCACTGTATTTAATTAAGAAAGTTTGGTGAATACAGCTTTTCAATGTCAAATTAAAACTAAAGAAAAATCATATGTTAAATATGAATGGAACCTGCGTACATTTTGGATACAACGCAGTAATACATACAATGGAAGAACCTTCTGCTATTTCTGCCTTATTTTTCTTTAGCTTTATTTAAATGTTGAACATTGGTATGTGCAGTCCATTTGTGTAGGTTAAATAATGTGTATAATGTGTATGTGTATATAATCTTTGGACGTCAGTGAATGTGTCTTGATGCTAAAGGCCTTTCATTTATCCTTGGTCGTCTGTGGTCGGCAGGAAGTACAGATGAAGTTGTGATCTCATCCCAGCAGACTTCAGAGGATGGGAGGTCATGATTTATTCATTATTTATCTCAAAGTATCTGAAAATAACATGTGCTCCATAATACTGGACATGTTATTTGACTGCTTCTGACTGTAAAACATAGGAAAGTTAATAGTAATGACCCCCCCATACCCTCCCAGGATACCTCCTGTATATCTGCTGTCAGATATAATGTCTACCTCTTCTATTTCTTTATCACCAAACTATATATATATTCAACCTCTGCTCTTACTTCTCTTTTATGTTGCTCTGGTTTTTCACTCCACCTACACACAGTATAAACTGCAGCAGTACGTGAAAAGACTTAATATTAATATAGTACTCTAAAGATACTGCATCCACTTTTTAACAAACATTACAGAAATACTATCAATATTCAAGCATTTATCACAAATAAAACTTTGAATGATGGCATTAGTTCCTGCACGAGGAGGATTTTTGAGGTGATGACTTTTCAACACACCTCACCACATCATGTGATGTTACATCGGATGTTTCAGATGTTGATAATTAGTACAACAAAAGGATTAGGATGCTTATTGAAAGTTTGTGATATGAAAGACAGCTCCAACTTCTGTTGCACGACAGAATAATAAAGAAGGTGGGCAGCTAATAATGTACTGTACCAACACCGAGACAAACAACCATTCACACTCACATTCACACCTAAGGTCATTTAGGAGTGAAGCTACTGTTGGATGCTTTCGAACTAGAGTAAAGCAGAGAAAAGCCAAGCTGACATTAGGAGAACATGAAAATCCCATCCAGAAAGACTGGATTTAACAGGCAAAATTATGGCTCAAAGGCAAGCGCACAAAGTATTCACAGCACTGAATGACTTCATTTGAAACTGTTACCAAATGGTTATCTGTACTGCATGGACTGCATGTACTGCATGTACTGCAGGTACTATATGTACTGTACCATCAGAATCATATCTGGCATCAGATCCTCTGACACTGGACTGTAATCACTTCCTCTCCTTCTCAGTCAAACTCTTCATCTATCCCTCTGCACATTATCATGACTCCTCCATCCTATGACATTTCATCTGCTCTGTTGCCTAGCAACCCAGACTCTCTACATTGAAAGAAGGTCAAGGAGTCTGCTTTGCCTGTGGATTATTAAAGATGTTCATTTACTGAGTATTTAGTCTGCCAGATTAACTAGCAACTCTTCTTCGACAAACATGAACTTCATCAAAAACACCTTACTAACTATTAACTAAGTATTAACTTACTATTATAATGTGACAACAATGTGGATAATATGGAATGCTTCCACATACTGTACATTAATAATAGTATAACAATACAATAGCATATGATATAGTTTGGTCGTACTGCATATACTAATATTACTGCTATATGCCCATTATGGAGGATTGCTGGAGTAACAAATAGTTTTCTGGTTGATTGGTTAAGAATGTTTAACATGAAACATGTACATGTTTACCGCCATCAATGCCATTAATCTGTTGCTTGTTTTTTTAAACATTCTTATTTTCCTCAAGGAAAAGACTGTCTGTGACAGTGATGAACTTTCACTTCAGCCAGAGATGATCCTCACATCCTAACTGTGGTTAATCACATTTAAATTAGGAGTTCAATTTCCTAAAGTGCAGTGAAACACAAAACCACCATCAACATGCATGCAAATGACTGAAATTCAATGAAACTCAATGAACCAAATAAGTTTTATTAGACACGTTTACATTTTAATTATTCCATGATTTTGGTTAGTAACTTATTAAGAAAGGTGTGAAACACAAGCATCTGCCTGTAGTTTGTTATTTGATTTTCAGGAATGTTGACTCATTGGCATTAATCACAGTTTATCATGATTAATTACACTACTGTAGTAGAGTTCTGTGGAAGCCCTGGTAAAAACCCTAGCTAAATAAACTGATGTGCTGACTCGTATAAACTGGTAATGGTTATAAACTGGTTAATGGTTATAAACTGGTTTACCAGTTTGATACAGATTATCCAGTCCTACCTGAGGGTCTGAGAGACGTGAAATGTCTGGGTAGAGGTAGAACTTGATGCCATCGTAGGCTCCAGGGAGTGTGACTCCTCTGATCAAAAGGACCAACAGCATCACATAAGGAAAGGTGGCCGTCACATAAACCACCTGCAGAAACAAAATTCACATCATGACATTATTTCCACTTTCTGCACTGGTCATTTTGTCATGGTTTATTGTCTCTGGGGTTAGTTGGTTTTTTTTGCCCCAACTAACCCCATTCATAAACTGCATCTTCAAAAGACATGTCATATGAATGGACCCTGTCACCTGTTTGTGTGAATTTTTGTTCAGATTGTTCAGATTTTTGTTTAACAGCTCTGATAGAAAACTGGACTACTTACTGTCCTGCCTTCTTTTGATTCAACAAAAACCCTCTAACTTTTGTAGAAGCTACTCATCAATGCAAATAAACAAGCGATAAATCTTCTATTTATTTCGATGAATGGATATGATTATGTAATAATCAGTGTGTGAAAAAATTATCTTCTTTATATTCCAGTCTGAGCTGAACTGTGTTAACCTGGGCTGATGGATCGGTACCGCTGGTAGATGGAGAGAAGTGGTACAACCACTGGTCCAGTGCTTTTTACCAGAGAACTCAGTTAACACCTACTACTGTAGGAAAAACCTGCTAAACATCATACTAAGACTTTTGCTTCCTACTGAAATCCCCTGAACAAGAATCCTGGCCTCTTCTAAGGCACAGGCAGGCAACATACATCCCCTGGCTGCTGGCATTCAGTCAAAGTCCAATTGAGGACAGAAGAGAACAGAGCCAGACCAGGAGTCTGAAAGAAAAGAAGGCTCCTCTGGCACCATCTCTAAAACAGCAGAAGGCCAAAGGAGTGATGCTGGCAGTGTGGGAAAATGTGCTTCTCTTTGAAGCACACACACACACACACGCACTCACTCACTGACTCACACACACACACACATAAAAACTTCATTGACAAAGTAAAACAGATGTGTGCATTATTAAAGAACTCTACAACTTAGAGCAGGATTTAAAGTAATCCACAGGTGAATGGACTAAATACGACTTATGAAGTTATTATTTTATTATTTTCATAACAGCCTTTAATGAAATTAAAGGGATTAATTAATCTCTGAGCCCTGATAATCCTTGTGTTCCCTGTAGGAACCTCATCTCCAGTACAACAGAACCCTGGTTTTATCACTGAACTTTCTCCTAGCGATCTTTTCTCTGATCAAAAATACAATTTTCAATCTCTTTATAAAGAGCTGATGCTACACATGGTCCTTCCAAGCACAGTGTTTAAGCCACTCTAGATCTTAACCTCGCCTGGTGTAAATCTTTAAGCCTAAATGTGAGAAACCCAGGACCATCAAAAGCAAATGGCTCAGTGAAGTCGGAACTGAATGGGCCGTCAGGTCGGTGGAGAAGAAAGCACCTCTCACGCGCAATGACGGATCTGTGGTGAATTTCTCATAGCAAGAGAGGGAAGGGGGTGGGGACAGGAGTGGAAGTGGGAGGGGGGCGGAGGCTGAGAATATACTCTGCATGCTCCTCATGAACGTTCTCTTTCTCCCAGTGAATACAGGAATCAATCTTGGACCAGCTGTTAAAGCCCAGCCATAAGCACCTCTCCTCACTCCCCACCCCTTTCACCCCTCTCTTCTTCTTCACAGCCAGACAAAAAAGACCTCAGAGAGATATAGACACTGCTGCCTGGTTGTTTTTCCCCTCATCATGTAGAATGTACAACCCCAAAGAATTTATCCATGAGAACACAGACTGCACTAATGACTTCATCATCACCATGGATCACGATGCAGCCATACTCTGTACTGCAAACCGTCTTAAATGGAAACACAATAACGGACATGTATTTCTCTGCCTTACCTTGCCAGTTGACTTGGGTCCCTTCCAGATGCAGAAGTAGCAGATGAACCAGGCCAGAGCCAGACACATGGCCAACTCCCAGCGCAATCCCCCCATGTGTTCTATACCATCAGATATTTTCAGTACTCTGCGTCTGTATCACAAAGGCATCAGGTGATTCATATTTTCAAATGTGTAAAAATGTTAACAATGGTTTAATTTGTTTTTGCTCTTCAGCCACAGAACCAGAACAACTAGAAGCTGTAGTTCAACTGTCAACCTTGACATCCCCCCCCCAAAAAAAACCCCCAGACATCTGTTCTTGCCGTGTAAGGTTCGTTCTTTAAATATCATCATGAGTTTATCATCTATCATAACATGTTTCAGAACCAGTCAGTTTATAAAATGCACTTTGATGCGAGGTGATTGGTAAGAGGAAAACAGGTATGTACTGGAGCTCAAAAAGCTCCAAACTTTAATAAAGGAAGTAGGCTTTCTTCTGACATACTGTATATTCCATTTGCATCTGAATATTTATGACGTGTAAGTATTGTAAGTATGAATTTTGTGAAGAGAAAACTCTAAAGAAGCTGGATGAAAAACTTTTGCAAAAAAGGTTTTGTTGAAATTTGCTCTGATTTCAAAATTGCTCAAAATGTTTAGCGTTGGAAAAAAAAAACAGTTTCAATATTGGGCAACAAAATTTGACAAGGATTTTGACCTTGACCAAGTCAAGTCAAAGACAAAGGCCCAGAGATGAATCTTAGTTTTTGGAAAAAAAAAACAACACCTTTTTTGACCCATCATTGGTCATACAAAATGGGCAAATACAACATTACTATAATGCCTTTGTGTGACTGGCTGTACATTTGTGATGGGGTTTAAACCTGTGGAGAAATACTATTTCAATTTTACATTAAAATGTGATCCTAAAGGGCAGAAGATATAATCAAGTGTGACTGCTCAAACTAATCTGATATTTACTACAACATCCAAACATCCTCACTTCTGTTGGTTATTCTCATAGAAATGCAATTATAGCAGTGCAGCTCTAACAATGACAATCAAAGTATTTTTATATAACTTTAATTTAATTAATTAATTAAAAATAGTTTTAGTTTTAATCTAGTATTTATTTTATTTCTAATTTTATGTTTGGCTGAATTGCTGAGTTTCCTTGTTCTTCTTCTATGGTATTTCCACTACAAATTGCAAGCAGTAGTAATAAAATAGTTAATTTTCTCTTTGCTGAGGGACAGTCGAGCAAACGCACTGTTAGAGAATTGTAAACTAGAGTTGGAGCCACACTGTTAACATGGCTGTGCCAAATCTTTGCCACCAAGTTTTGTACCAGCCATTGATCGTCATGACAAGTTCTTGGTGGTCGGCCACAGGCTGGGTTCAAAAGAGCCCCTCCGGTCAGTTAGGAGGCCAAGATGTGAACACTAATATGTGTAAATATACTTGTCTGTTTTAAGTTAAAGTGAATTGATTTTATATGGCTGCATGAAGCAGTGTGTCTTCTGTCCAGGACGTGCATATGCAGCAGGGCTGAAGACAAAAACAAGCAGCACATTTGACATTTTTAGTTTAACTTTTAGCATGCTATTGAGCATCATCAAAAAGATGGACATTATCCAAGGTCATATGACTGCATCAGGTTCTGAATGCACAATAGGAAAAAATGTATTTCCAAATTATAATTAAACAAGGTTTATGTTGTTAAGTATTCAATTAATTCTGCTCGATCTAAATACATATATATGTACAGTATATATACATATATATAAATATAAATATATAAACTTTGTTTATTTATTTATGTATTTTTTGCATTGTACAGTCTTCACCTCTGTTCTATTACCCCAGTGTGGGATTAATACAGTTCAATCTAATCTAATCTAAACTGATAATTTAATCTAATTTGTAACTAAAGGATTAATCGCAGGATTCCACACTGGATTTCAACATGCCATGGCAACATGGCTGCTGGCAGTGAGACAGGAAGTGTGGTCAGCATTATACACGGACGAGGCCTGATCCACTGGCTCTAGCTGGGAGACAGCTGGTCTCACTGGGTATGTTGACACACAAATATGAAAAGGGTCGACTAATTCATGGGGGAAAGGTTAGAGGCGTGGTGCTGTGAAACACTCAGCCATGGGAAGCTCATTTTTTTCCACCATTATGGAAATCTGACATTTTAAAGCAGTGCATCTGTGTGAGGAATTACATCATCACTCCATTTTTTAGACAAAAGGTGAAAACCTGTGGACAGAAATTGGATCTATTAAAATAAAAGAAATTATACTCACTCCCAGAACTCAATGACTGGAGAAGTGGCATTGGGGTTTGTGATGTTGGTTGCATTTTCTCCATAATAGTCCACACAGTTCTCTATAATAAAAAAACAGCATATTGTTTTTTTCTGCAGCTACAGCTCATACATATTGTACACACAGGAATAACCAATCAAATATTTCCAGTCTTCCCAACTCGTACCTGTGTTCCAGTAGTGTCCACAGCCAGCCCACGGCAGCTCAGTAGTGAAGCAGTTGAAGAGGTAGAAGATTGCCCAGGCTAGGATCACTACATAGTAAACGTTTAGATGTGCTTCAATCACCTGTGTTGCATATCCAATACCTGAAAAAACGAAAAGAAAGTTGCCTCTAAAAAGTTACTTTTGGTCCATCCAGTGTTAAACAGTGGCCGCTTACATAAAACTACAGTAATTGTATCTAAGTAATAAGTATATTTTTCAATTAAGATACTTTTTCATACCTTCTTTGATTTGGGTGCAAGACCTGGCTTTATCTACAGAGAAGCAATTCTGTTTTATGTGTTCCATTGTGTAGAAGTTAGTTTTGCATCGCAAGTAAAGAACAGAAAGTCCTGGGTTTGATTCCCCGGGGAACCACATATTCCAAGTGGTGCCTCCTGTGGCAGCCCATGTCAGGTGCGAGAACTGTAAATGTCCTCCTTGTGGGATGAATAAGGGGTTATTAATATTATTATTGTTATTATTATTATTGCTGTTATTATTATTATGATTATTATTATTATTATTATTATTATTATTATTATTACTACTACTATTATTATTATTAAGTAGTTAATAATATTAATAATTAAGAGATAAAGATGAGGTAAGCAGTTTGTGACCCCTATGGGATCCTGCACGGTACTGCAGAGAAGTCAAAAAGTTCTAAATGATTAGGTATTTTTATATATTTTCTAAAATACATTTTTCAGTTTTCCAACATTTATCTTTGCCAGTTAATGTTGTTTTTGCCATTGTTTTAGGTATGTTTATATATGTCACGGTCACCCTACTCTCTTAACCTCACACGTAATGTACCTCACGCTGTAATTCCTCTTTAAATGCATCTCCATGGACTTTTAATGATTAAATATTAACGCTGTGTTCTTACCCTCGAACAGTGGGCAGACTTTCCTCCAGCAGGTGATTCCTCCTTCACTCGTGAACTGACCCAGGGCCGTTTCCAGGAAAAACACGGGGATACCACAGCATACAAAGAAGATAACGTATGGGACGAAAAAAGCACCTTTACAAAGAAAAAAGAAAAAGAAAAACACAATCAGTGAACGAATAACACATGAGCCATGGGAAGTAGCCCGAACATAAGAGTGTTAAGATGACACAACTTCTGTTTTTTTTCCACCAGGAGGAGGAATCTTCTCCACCTACCTCCTCCGTTCTTGTAGCAGAGGTAGGGGAACCTCCAGACGTTGCCCAGCCCGATGATCTCTCCAGCCACAGACAGGACAAACTCAATCTTGTTGCTCCACTGGCCCCTCTCATTGTACTCCCCATTGTCGAGGCTGGAGCTGGACCCTTCTGGGTCTTTGCCATCCTCTGATTTACCGTTTATAACGGGCCCACTTTTCTCAGCTGTCATGACTCTCTTGCAGCACGCTGTAAAAGAGGAGAGAGAGGATACCAAAAGTAAGGTAACCACATAAATCTGGACTGCATGAATTGGGGTTGTTTCATACACAACACAGTCATCTCCTAGTGGTGCTGCCTGGTGTAACACTTAGCTGCAGATCTAATCTAATGGTGGTGAAGTACCAAAACAAAGGTCATGTGATATTATTATAGTGTTACAGTTACAAATGCTGAACTCAATACCTTATTAATCTACACTCAGTCTACATTACATCAGGAGCCAAAGGAAATCACTAATAATAAAATATTAAAATCAAAAGGCAAAATGGAATCAGCAAGGAAATGGTGACATAATCTGGAGAACAGAATAAAATAGAAGAAAAGGCCAGCTATGTAAACATATCTAATATACATATATGATGCTACTGAGAGCTGATAATTGAGATATGGTTCTTGCAGCATTGTCAACAAAGATCTATTCTATTCTAGTATATTTTATTCTATGAAAATAGAGTAGGAATTAATAGAATCAGCTGAAAACAATGTGCTTTTACTTAATTATGCTAATTAAGCTAATTTACTAATTGTTTTCTACATCTAAAATGTTTAAAATAAATTAGCTGACTTACATTGAGTAAGGCAAAATACATTAAACACACACAATCATAAAATGATAAATAAATTAACCCTAACCCTAGTCAGCCTTAGTTATACTGTTTGCGAAAAAAAATACAAGTTTCAAATTAACACGAATAAACAAAAATAAAAATAAACAACTAAAATAGATGGTGACGAAACTTAATCTTGATGGAGTGAGAGACAGGTGACATTCATATTCACTAACCTCCTATTGAAAAGAAGTGGCAGTGCGACTGTAAACTCCGCGGTGGTGCGCTGAAACAAACACCTTCACAAGACGATCAAAAGTCGACCAAATCCTAAAACAGCAGGTCAAGATGTGTTCAGTCGGAGAATACAACAACAGTTCACATCCACGCTGAGTCCCTCGTCTTTGGGGAAAGATCCCAGACACGGAGGAGTGGCTGGAGAGTAGCTCTTACGCTACGATGGATAACCTGCGACTGCGCTCGCAATCTCCGAACGCTCCACTCTCATGCGCGTCCACTTGGATAAAAGCCACGCGGTAACCAATCTGGCTCCGTGCACAGAGGTGACAGGAGGAGAGACCCCTGAGGGTTGGGTAGATGTAGGCAGCTGTAGACTGTAGAAAAACGGTAAAACTGGAGTTTAAAAAAAACAAAAACAAAAGAGATTGTAATTGTTGATTTTTAAATTTCCTTATTTAAAAAATAATGAAAAGATGACGATGAAATAATCTCCTTAACATTTATACGAATGCAGATTCTACGTTCTAAGATAGATGATATTCTAAAAGGTTGTAGAATAATTTAAATTTAAATGAAACTAAAAAATACTATTGTGGTATTCCTTAATGAATGGGACTAGACTGTAAATTGAACGTATGTAGCAATGTTGCTTTGTTGTTTTTCCATTTGTCCGAGAACTTCAGGACATACCCTCATATATGTCATCATCGTTACGTTCATTTGTAGCGTCACCTTTTCTCAGTTGTCAGCACTAGTGATGTCACATTAGTTGATTTTACATTTAATTGTGGAATGAAGTGCTACAGTATCTTATTGTAACGTTTCCTTAATTCAGCAACTCAAACGGAAGGAAAACAAAGTTACACACCTGTTGCTTTGTTTTCTCTCCCTGAAAGTTGTGGAAGGAAGGCGTTAAAACGTGGAGGAAATAATATATATATTTTTTAAAAGAGTTATTTCTTTGACCAGTGCATTAAATCAGCCGTGCGGAATTATTTTGACTACAGAAGAAAATGGCCAAGTGTTTTGGGAATGATGACTTGACATTAAAAATACGGTGAAAGGAGGAAATACCTCCAACATGTTTCAGCACCTGCGGGACAACTACCCGACATTGTTTACCAGAGTAAAGGTAAAGACACAGTAACTGGATTAAATTACGTCAATGTTTTCTTAACGTCACATTAAATTAGTACGACATCAAATATTAGCGTGTCATCTGCAATTAATGGTTTACGAGCACGACTCGAGTTCGGCTTTCAGTGCAGCGTGACACGTTCACCTAACGTTACATTATACTGTTGGTATGTAAACATGGCGTAAGGTCGATAGCTTTTTTTAAAATAATTTTTCTTCTGTCTTTTTGTCGGACAGTTTCAGCGTTGGTGAACAGTGAGCTGTAGAAGAAAACTCCATGTAGTTCCTTCAGTCAGTCTCAGTCAGTGAACAGTTAGCTTTAGCTCCATTAGCTTTCACCTATCAGTAAACGTTGGACTGGTGCTTTCAATACTATGGGATGTCCGTTTCATTTATTATTAATTTGTTTATGCCATTGTTATTTAAACATAAAATAAACGAACCAAAATAATATGTAAGTTTTATATGTGGGCATATAAAATTAGACAAACGATTAAATGATTAAAATAAACTTAAACATCTGGTATAGATCAAACTTGATGACTTAAATCTAATCTAAAACAATTTCCCATTGGTTAGTCATATATAAATAGGTATGTAAACATAGAAATAGAAAAATGTTATTGGGTTAATAATAGGTTATGTCATTATATTTTGTGTGATTGTCTTCACAGAAAGATAGAGGTTCTGTAGCCCTTCACTCTGTTTTCTCTGAGAGAAATACATATATAGTACATGTATAGCATTTTTTTCTGAGCAGTGGTAATTTTTTTAAATTAAAATAGGATTATTGTCATTTTTCTTCCTCAGTTTTCTGTCTTGTACTTTTTTGTTACCTGACTTAGTTGCTATATGTTTCTGTTATGTTGGCATTAAACGATAGAAATGTATTAAACTTTAAGACTTGCAAGAATTGCTCATGTGATTATACACATTTATATTGTTGTCAAGTCAATTAATGTGTAATAATCTTGATAACTGTAATATTGTGATAAATTCGTTATTATCGTACCAAGGAAATCTATAATCGTGACATCCCTAGTCAGAACACATCTGAGGAAAAAAATAGTTTATGAAAAACAGAGCCAGTAGATGGCAGCAATACAACTCATCAGATGCAGCTAATATGTTCTTGTTTTAAGATTATTTATTTTGTGTTGGTTTTTAAATAAACAAAAACAAAATTCACATTTTGTCTCTGTGTTAATGACGGTCAACAGTGCCTCATGCAGGGGAGTAAGGGAGGTGCATTCTATGTTTACTAATGCTGGATAAAGATTTTGACTGTCCAACATGACATTGTAAAGTTGTTTTGTCAGGGTTTGTTGAAAAGTAGTACAGCTGTAATCTCTCAGTCTACTGGTCGACAAAGCTTCTTGCACACCCCCTAACCCTAACCCTCTCTTCTCCCCTACGATTAGTCGATTTTCAGTTCAAATTTCCCGGCTTCAGTCGACCAAGATATCTTTGATCAATTACACCCGTAGTAACTAGGGATTCATTTTTTAAATTTTATTGTTAATCATGATTAATTGAGATAAATCAACATTCCTCTTTTTATTACTGGAATAAGACAAATAACAGTGATGTTTGTGTTTGTTCAAAACTTGTTTTTATTTGTAACTGATTCAAATGATGAAATTGTGGGAAAATTTCAAGAACATTTTTAAAACCGTTTAGTATAAACCCACCTGCTGGTCAGATGCATGGTCTTCTCACCTGATATCAAAGCCTCTATACAAAGCATGCTGGGTGTTGAGGTATTTTAGGATTAAGTTGCTTCTGTTAAACTAAATCTAATTCTTGCAGTGTGTTAATACCGTGTGTATTGCTGTGATTTGGAGAAATGGACGATGGAATGTTTGTATATAAAGTGTTCTTCAATCTGCCCATGTATTAAAAATGATCTAATTAATTCCACAAATTAATTAATATGATTAATGCCTCCTTTTAAACATACATAATAACTAATCATTAAATTGTCAAATGCACACTTGAAGATTTAGGTGTTAGGCATAGTTTCAATTGGTGTTAATGGCTAGTGTTTCCTTCAGTCTCAGGTAGAGGCTGTGTTTTTATGGTTTACTGAGTTTGGTTATGTTTTTAAACTGGTGGTCAGTGGCACACAGGCAACATCAAGGTTACGCCAAAATATACATCAGTATGCCAATAAACTGTTATAAGTTTTTTTTTTTTTTGACACATTCAATCAGCATTTGGTATTAAAAGGTCACATACTGTCTGGTAATGGCAGAAAGCTAGAAAGCCACGTCTCACTCACTCTGAAAATATTCAGATAAATTGCAAAGTTTATTTTTAAAAGCAAATGTTGCCTTGGTGCTGGGATGCCAAAATCTGGGAAAACAAGGACAGAGGAAAAACACAGATACCAGTGAAATAATTAACTTTGGAAGACAAAGCATGGAGCACAAGCCAGTCAAGGAAGAGCAACGCCAGAGATATGGAGTACGGTGTATGTGAACTTTGTGGCGCTAAAGAACAAATACTGATGTAAGTAACAGCCAGAAATATTAACTATTAACCCCCATCTAAACATCAAAAATATAGATATAAACAAATATATCAAATGTATTGATAATATAAAATAATAACAATTAAGAAAACATTTATATTATTGTTATAAAAATGTATTACAGGGTAAGAGGTAGTAATAGTCAACATGAAATGGCTAGCTCTGGCAGAGAGAGAGAGGGAGCGAGAGAGAGAGAGAGAGAGAGAAAGTATATAACATACTGTCACCAATGACAGAATATCAGGTGAAGTCTAAGACCTGTGTGTCTTTGAGTGTGAGTGAGTGAGTGAGTGACAAAGCAAGGAACAGTGAGCGAGTTAGCGCGACAGAGTCTTGGCCACCAAGCGTAGGAGAAGGACTTGGTTGAGCACTCGTAACTAAATGTTTCCTCATATCAGGAGTAAAATCTTGCAATAATTGCAGACTTGTGACATGGAATACTCGTATTTCAGAAAGCTCGTATCTAGGTGCTTCACTGTACTATGCTTTTTGTATCTTCTAATTTTCTATATTACACAATGTTACTATTTTGACCACCAGAAAGGAAACTAAGTTAGCTTTAATATATTGTATTCCACTTGATGTATTTAGTTTGCTACTTAAGTGTGATTCCATTGAATACCTCATGTCAGGAAACTTTCTCTGTTAGATAGGATTGTAAAATATGCTGTTAGTTCATACCCCTATTTTCCTAACACACAAATAATTTAAATAATGATCAAATAAAGATCTGATCAAATAAAGAATCAAATACGAGATCTTAAAGTTTTATTAGCTTTACTTGCAAGCAAGGAGTGCAGGACAATGGTTACATTCAGAACTGCACTGAGAAGGTCTACTTTTTTGAAAGTCTCAATGGGTAGAACTTAAATGCGTATCCTAGAATTATAGAGGTTTACAAAAAAAAAAAAAAAAAACCCTGAAAAAACAAAAACAAAAAACGAAGACAACCTTCTTATGTATTATTTACTATTTATTTTTATATTTTTACACTAACGATCAACCATTGGCAATAGCCATAAGAACAACGGGTATAACAACTTGCCATACAGAACTCAAATAAATTATATTATTTTGTTAATATGTTCACATCTTAGCAGAACTATTCCCATTTAACTGGAGTTAATAAAATATTTAGCAACTCTGGCTACACAATTAATAAGAGCTAATCCTCAATTTTAGTTCCTGACAAGAGACAGAAGATCCACTAAGGGAAGCCTTAACATTTAAAGTAGATCAATTTGTATACATGGCAATAGGGTTGGAGAAAAATTAGGTCCAAATTGTAAATTGTTATTATATTATTTTATTTTGCAAAAAGGGATGTGAATGTTTTGAGCTTGCCTTTACCTTTATAGCTTTTCTCTAATACATCGCCAAACTTGATAAAACAAACCAATAACCCAAATGTTATAAATATGTTAAGAGTATGGTTTGTAGTACAAAAATGTACAAAAGAAAATATTAAGAAATCTCAATACTACTGTTTGGGGAAACCAGCATTTTATACCAGGAAGAAAAGATGCTGTATTTAAATTAAATTAAAGGGACTAGAAAAATTTTAGGATCTGTATCTGCCTAACTCAGACATCATTTTGTCACTTGAAGAAATTAGACTAATAAAAGTGTATATAAGTGTAAGTAAGACAATGTCAATAAATACAATGTTAAAAAAAAACCCTATGCTTACAAGGAGGCCTGAAG